TTGTGGACTTTTGTATGAACCAGGACCCCGGTCATGCTTGGTGAGATTAGTATATTTTCCGATAAGCCCAGTTAAAACATCCGTAACCTTTAAATCCATGAAAAAGTACAATGACCTTTATCCGTTGTCCTCCAATTATGGGTTCGTTTGTGAACACGTGACGTCAGACTTGCAAAGCTTATGTTACAGCGATCGTGCCATCTTATCAGTGATGCTTATTTTTTCGTAATGGTTAGGCTATTTTAGATAACTTATAGCAGCTGATTTTTCTCAAGAATTATTAACCACAATTCTGGAAGATGTTTTCAATCAGACAGGATTACTTACGTGTACTCGTAACATTAATTTCGTGCACGATATGATCCGGGCATTTAAATGAGATTCTTACAGGCTGCATGAAAGCTCGATTTTCATTAAAGGATTAGCTGTTTATGTAATATGACTTTCTGCATTTGTTTTCTAAAAATCTATTCATTTACATATTTTTTAGAAAAAAATGATTAGAAATATTTTTTTAAAATAATTATTTGGTCGGAAAGGGCGTCTTTCTTATGCTTTATACCTGCGAAACCGAAACCTTTGGACTTTAAAATTGTTCAATTCTGGAATTATTTTGGATCCGACCGGCAGTTGTTCTTGCACTTCGATTTTCTAACCTACATTCCGTAAAGGATCCCTATTAAGAAAATTATACGCTTCTCCATAGTATCATGAAGACGTCATATACCACTAAGGGATTGTTCAAGTCAATGCGCATCATATTGTATACCTCATATGGAGTATTAGTAAATGGGCAGGTATGATAATTTATCGATGGACATTTCACGGCATTATAAGATCTCAGAATCACAAACTTTTAGTTTATTTACGCCAACTTCGGATATGCATGCCAGTTGGCGGTGGTGTAACTTCTCCTGCACTCGGTACCGGTTGTCAACAGGCAGTAGCAAGCAGAATGACAATCTTTTTTAATTGAATGACTTAGGAAGAATGCATTGGCTATGAACGAAGGAAATACCCCGTATTTGCCCGCCCTTGGAAGTTGTAGGTGCATTGTCATGTATGTTTTTCCTTTTCTTTGAATTCCAGTTTGCTGAAAGGTGCTCAAGAGCTCAAAATGCGCAAACGACTGATAGAAGAGGCGGGTGGGGAGTTACAAGAGTTCTGCATTGAGGATATGGAATTATTTGAAGATGTCATGGATGAGACCAAATTCTTCACGAGTTGTGAACGGCAGACGATTGTGCGCCACTACCTAATGAGTCTCCGCGCGGCAGCCTCAGAATCCTGGAGCAAAGACCTCCTCTTCTCGCCAGACCAGTCTATCAGTGAGTTATGCGTCATTGCCTTCCATTCTAACGCATAACGACCGTCTTCTGCAGTTCCGCTCCACGGCAAAACTAACGCATAGTTTTGGTCAAGAGATTTGCCGTGCGTGTGCGTGTGCGCTAGCGCCTGCTGGGTTGTAGGTATTAGTTTAGTGCTGGCTGGGGGTGTCAGTTCAACCCTCGTGAATGACGATGTCCGCTGTGGACACAGAGACGGTGAATCGTGTGTGTGTGAATCAGTTTTTAAAGATAGCCGACTTGCACAGCATCTGCCGCATTCTTTCCTTTCTCCCTCAGTGGGTCCACTGGCAATTCAAGAGCACCGGAGACAGATTCAGGCAGAGTGGATGACAAGGGTCGTCATTTTTGGTTAGACTTTCGTAGTTCAGTGCTAATTTTGTCTCCTATTCAGGACAGTCGGGATAACTCGGATATGGTGTTTATTCGAGGTGATTAGACCAGCAGTCCTGTGAATGGCGCAGACGCGTGACTGCGAGTTTTATAAAGGAATAAGGACGCAGGCGGGGAACAAGGACCGTGCGGGCGTGGTGAATAAGGACACGGGCGGCGTGC